TGGCCCAAAATAGAAAGATTTGACAAGGATCAGTTACTAGTCATTAAAACACTATCATAATTGATTATACATTCGTTTAGGCTTCTTCCAATTGATTGACTTAAGGTACTAATTGATTGGTTACTTTAAAAAATCTTCTAATAGATTGTATTAAGGTCCTAATCGATCGTATAGTTCAAAAATATCTTTCAATCGATTGTTTTGAGGTCCCAATCAATCAGTTCATACAAAAATACTTCAAAAGGAAAGTTGACAGTATCTTAATCACTTGACTCAGGTTTGAAAATATTTTAAAAATATTTGACAGATAAAAAAGAGGTTTCGAGTGTGTGTGTGTGTGCATGCACGCGCACGAGTGTATGTGTGTGTGTGTGTGTGTGTGTGTGTGTGTGTGTGTGTGTGTGTGTGTGAGAGAGAGAGAGAGAGAGAGAGAGAGAGAGAGAGAGAGAGAGAGAGAGAGAGAGAGAGAGAGAGAGAGAGAGAGAGAGAGAGAGAGAGAGAGAGAGAGAGAGAGAGTGAGTGAGTGAGAGAGAGAGAGAGAGAGAGAGAGAGAGAGAATTTCCTTAGTATATTAGTAGTTACTTTCTTAATTTTACAAAACTCTGAACACTCAGATAGACACGATCAAAGAGCTTTCACATTTCCTCTCTTTCACAACTCTGAGGCCTTCAAGATTCTTTGCCATATACATTGATCATATAAACACTTTAATGAAGTCTCAATTCTCATACTAGATATTGTTCTTAAGTTTGGTCACCATCATTAAAGAGTTGGAAAACCATTACCATTGACTTTACCGACTTCAACAATCATTGGCGTTGTCATCATCAAAACTTTATGAAGATTATTGAAGGTGAGAAATAAACACAAGAAAGGGGGGGGGGGTTGAATTGGGTTTATGCCTTAATAAAACTTTTTCTTTTTCTTATCTTCTTCTTCACTTGATGCTTTTATGCGCTTATATTAAATACATTGCGGAAGCATAAATAATAAAGCATAAGTAAAGAACACATCATATATCCTGGTTCACTTGAGCAACTCTCAAGCTAATCTAGTCCACCCTTCCAAGGTGATTTTGCCTTAATCAATTAAGGACTTAATCCACTATAACCGAACTGATTACAGATGCACAAGCTAACTGCAAGTGACTAACAACAGATCAATGAAACGTTTAGGGATCCCCAAGGATATAACATTCATTAACATCTAATAGAATCCGATCACTAAAGATCTCCTATTAGAAAACCACAAATGACTACTGTCACTTGTCATCTCAAGTATACTGATCTTCACAAGATCACTTGAGGAACCACTAATTCTAAAATAGAATGTTGTGTTGCCGGAGATTACAATGGTGCTTCCTAGCAAGCTAATTACTCCAAGTTAAGCACATAGAAAGTAATGAGTAACAACTCCTTGCTTCCTAATGTAGAAACTAATCTAATGATGAATCTCTAAGAGATTATAAGAACATAGTTTCCATATTTCTTAAAAGCTTTTCTGTGTGTGAGCACTAAGGCTTCTTTTCATTTAAGCTTTTCTTCTTTCTTTCTTTCTTCACTTCATGCTTACTAGCATGGTAACATTTGAATGAATCAAATGTTATTTCTTATAGTGCATTTTAACAGCAACAGCGTTGCTTGACTCAGCAACCCAGCCCCCTTTTTGATCAAATGATTCTTCTTTTTATATTACAACCAATAGAGTTGTTGTGAGGATATAGTTGCCCTTTCTCATTCCAACGGTCATATCCCAACGGATAGAATAAGCTCATGTGTTGGAACAGTGACCTTAGCTTGTAGCTTCAATATATTTAATCCTTGGAAACCACGCTTGAACAATACCAACATCTTTACCACACTTGAATAATTGCATACGTTGTACTTCAATCTTCTTGATTCTTCTGATGATTTGTCTGATGAGTAGTTCAGAACTACTTTGGTATGAAAGCTTCAACATCAGAGTTGTTAACTCAAGCACATGTTTATCATATTGAACAACAGCAACTTATCTGATGTAACACGTCTTGCATCTGGGTGAATCTTCTTCTGACACAATTTTCCACTTCAGAATCCAGTCTTCAGCATTCCAAGAACTAAGTTTCCTCTGAAACAATATTGAGAATCTTCATGACTAATTCTTCAGAAACCATGTCTTCAGAATCTTCAGAGCCTTGACCTTCAGAACACTTCTTCAGAGTCTTGACCTTCAGAACACTTCTTCAGAGTCTTGACCTTCAGAACCTGTCTTTAGAGTCTTGACCTTCAGAACCAGTCTTCAGAGTCTTGACGCACTTGGTCTTCAGAGCCTTCAGCCTTTAGAACTTCAAGTCATCAGAGTCTTCAGCACTTTGTTCTTCAGAGGACTCACTCTTCAGAGACGCTCGTTAGCTTCCAGATCAGATGCATAACTCAGAGCAGAATCTATAGATGCATTGCAACTGCTATATCCAGCATCCTTGATTCTTTACTGAACATGATCAGATGTAGAAACAAACTTGCTTTTACACTGAGCTTCATTTGCTTTCAGATCAGATGCACTTCTTCATAACAGAAACCACAGGAGCATTGCAACAACAATATCCAGCACCCTTGGTTCTTTACTGATGGTGATCAGATACATAAGCAAACTAGCTTCTTACAAGCGCTTCATGACGTCACACTAAGTAATTCCATAAGTTACTAGCTGCACACGTTACTTCTGTTTGTTTGGTCTAATATATTTAATTTAATATGACCTGCACATAACAAACATTAAACCATAAAATGGTTCTTTCACAAATACTCAATTGTTATCATCAAAACATAGAGATTATCCTGTAGAGACAAATCTTGCTCTTACAATTATCAGTAAGATCATCAGCTTCATGCTTGCACATAAATACACATGTTAAACAACACAAAAGGTGATTGGGAGGGAGATCTTATGCACGTCCTTTGGGAAGAGCAAACCACTTCTCATTCTTCCAATAAAGAGACTTTGTTCTGACTCACTTATGATATAAAAGCGGTGATCCCCGTTGAAGTAATATAGCAGAGTTACAATACCTCCCACTGCGTGCTTAGAGAAACTAACGGAGAAAGGTGAAAATAATAGTTATACCTCTTAAGAATGCATGGATTAGGTTATCTTAAGAAAATACATAATAAAGTAGAAAATTGAGGGTACAATTATTCACAAACAACGTCACCAACTTTGAAACTACACACATTTCACAACGGTAGTATGAGGCGAGGCTCAACAAACATAGCAAAACTTAAATTTTTTAAGATCTCACATAAAATATTCAAACAACTTTGGAGACTATTTAAATTGAATAAAAACCAAATGAAGACTTGGAACTTACCCAAACAACAAAGGATATACACATAAGAAAACTCAGGGAGACACTTCTTGCCTAAATATTCACACACTAGCTGAATGTCGTCGATGAAGACTTAATATCTGAGATATTATTAAAAGGGTGCCACCATTATATATCAGAAAATTTCTTGCTCAAAAGTAGTTAAAAGTAGGGGTGTACACGGGTTGGGTTGGACTGAGTTTGGGCTAACTGTTTCCTAACCCGTTCAAACTTTAATGAGTTGGATTCTCTGTCCAATCCTCAATTTTATTATCAAAATCGACCCTAACCACCCCATTTATTTATGGGTTGGTCTATGTTGGGTTTACGAGTTGTGTTTCAAATTAAAAATATTTTTTTTATTTCTTTTTGTCGGTTTCAAAAAATCTAACACAACTCAATACAATCATACTTACTTATCACACTCAAATTCGATGAAATACATCATATAATATCTAATAAAATTCATCACACAATATAACACTTGATAATAGTATAAAATTCAACCACGTTATATCCAAAAACACATAAGTTGAAAATGATACAAAGAAAATAGAAAACAATATTTAATCATTTTGTAACTTTATTAATCTAATAATATTATTGAGGGAGAATAAAACTTTTTTAAAAAAATAATAATTATTAGTGAAATATTAATTTTATATTTTTATTTAAAATAGTAATAAAAAGAATAAGAAATGACCAAAATCACGTTAATAAAATGTGTTCTCAGATTTATGAGTTGTAAAACTCAAATTCAATACCCAAATCAAAATCATTTTGGTTGTTATGAGTTAGGTTAAATAGATTAATAAATAAATAAATTCAAATAATTTATAAATTGATTCAGTTTAAATAAATAGATTTCTGAGTCCATCCTCAGTCCTCACCGATATATATTTTATAATTAAGAGAAAAATTTGACAAAATCTTCTCAACAAAAATTGGAAGCATGACCCTGTAAGCACCAGGAAGGGGGTCATCTTGCTTCACCGCCTCATACTTTCCAAAATATTAATATTAACTGCTGTGTATTTTTATTATTAAAAAATTTGTAATATATATTAAAAATTTAATTAACATGCAAAATAAATTTACACGGTCATCTAATAGAAATTCATAAATTTATACTTTATATTAATAATTTAAAATTTACTGTGTTATATAACGAGATTGATGAAAAGTGTAAAAAAACTGTTGATATATATTAATTAATTTCATAAATTAATAATACAATTAAAAGAAAATAATTAATAAAAAAATAGAAATTAGAAAATATTTTTAGAATATAGATATTTATGGTAAATATGATAGTCATAACGGAAAAGAGAGAAAAGAAAAATTGAAAATTGGGAAAAAGTAAAAATTGTCAAAGTCAGAGAGATTATTAATGGAGTATCTTATTATGTACAGCATGTATGCAGAATTGTAGATACCGGATGCGATTTTTTCTGCTACACGCACGCGCCTGTCCCTTTCTGCCGTTTAATTATGAATTTAACAAACCAACGTAACCCTATTTTCTATCTAACCTACTTTTTCCATCCATTATATATACCCTTCTCCTTCTCTTTCTCCCTCCACAACAACACTTTCTTTTTCTCTCTCTACACTCTCCCCCAACACAACTACATCATCTTTCTCTTTTTTTTAAATAATGGAGGGTTGTGATAGTACGAGGAAGCGAGTTCGCGATGACTCGGATTTTGCTGACTCGAACGACTCCAAGCGAGTTATCCGACTCGACTCGGTTTCTTATGATGGTGACTCGTCCGAGTCGACTCTCTCACGTATTAACTCGTTCGGCTCGTGTGTTGACTCGGACGGATCTGAAACTGAAATCTTTCGGGTTGAATCGGAGCCTGACTCGTATGAAGTTAACGAGATGACAGATGAGATTCTGAACATACTTGATGAGACAGATAATGTGACGGAGCGTGAAGCCGCCGTCACCGCCGTTCAAGGACTCGACTCTGTTATCAAGAGCTTCGAAGATGAAATATTTGCCCCGGGTCAAGATTTGGATCCAAACCAAGTAGTATCCGAGTCCAGTGAGTTCAACCCGAACCTAGGATATTTACTGGAAGCTTCAGATGATGAACTTGGTTTGCCACCGACGATGGTGCAAACCGAGGAAAAAGGATTTCCCGAAATCAACGATTCGGGTCGGGTTGGCCCGGACGGTGTTGATTTGAGCGGGTTTTATTGGTTTGAAGAAGATATTCGAAACAACGAACCTTTTGGGTTGATGGGTTATGATAACGTTGGCGACGAGAACGACGGTGGCTATGTGACGATTGATGGACTGTTTGATTATGGTGAACCTACTGATATTTTGTGGCGGTCGGAGTCGTTGCAGGCTATGTAGGACTTTCCGGCGCGGCGAGTTTTTGTGACTCTTCGCCGGAATATTTGATAAATGGGTTTTCTTAGACAGCACATATGACGTAGGAGGGTAGATGTGAAAATTTAGAATTATGAAATTTGTTGAATAGGCCCCTGACTTGTTCGATAATTTTTTTTTGTTCTAAAAAAAGTTTATTTATGATGTGAATGTGACTTTAGACATTTCTTTTTATATTACTTTAAAAATAAGAAAATGACTTATGGTGATAAGTCATTTGTTCCAGATTCAAATTTTATTGTTGGAAGTACGTTTATAGTTGATAAAACATATTACCTTTCTTTTTCAAATTTTCTTTGAAAAAATCAATTAAATATGAAAATCCATTCTGTTTGGGACATAAGAATTATCTAATTTTTTTCCGCAATGAAGACGTTATAATAATTTAATTTATGATGGCTATAAAAAAATGGAGCTAATTATTTATTTTCTAAAATGGAATATAAAATTAATGGGAAAAAATTATGGGTTTATTTTTGTATTATAATTTTATTTTTGATGTAGATCTACTTAAAAAAAAAGATGCAAAATTTATATAGAATGCTTTCAAATTATATCGGCATTCATAGCTGTCATTTATCACAACATACTTCAATAAATTTATTAATAACAAAAACTAGGTGATTAAACCAAAATTCAAATTTACATGGATATTCGGTGTGGGTCGATTTCAGGAAATTCTATTGTCTATATTTATTAAAAGTATATTGATTATATGATAAAACACAAATCGAACTAATGAATTGATATAATTGGATATATTATATATATTATTAATTTAAGTGTTATTCATTCTCTCCGTTTTAAAATATGTCTTGAAAATAATGTACGAAAAAATAATAACACTACATTAGTTGGAGGTGTATATTTTAAGTTTTGATATATATAACATTTTAGAAGTATATATAAGCGGAAATATTCATGGATATTATATGAGATTAAAACATCAATATTTACTTGTTAAAGTCATGATTCAGAATTTTGAATGGATGAATGACCGGATCTTCCTCTGTATCTCACACTCTCGTTCACAACTTTCAATGAGGTAAGTTGTGGAGCCGTCAGTTATGTTTCTGATGCCTTTTGTGATTACAGAGGAGCCGTCAGTTATGTTTTTGATGCCTTGTGTGATTACAGAGGGGACCTAGCCATATAATATATATAACCCTAGTCCCTACCCATTATGGGCCCAAGGTTAAAGCCCACACTTTTATCCACACCAATCAGGTTTCAGATACTCAGCCATTAGTTAAAAATTGATCACTTAATTAATTAAAAGACTTATATATGCACCCCCATCAGAATCACAATTAATCCGTTTTTTACAAATTAAACCATACAAATTAAACCACAATTGATTGTAGCCCATAAAATATTAGATATATCTAACATTCTCCCACTTGGGCAAAATCAATTGTATGATTTTTATTTTAAAATACATTTTGAAAATGACTCTCGAGTTAATGACTAATTTCTTAAAATGCGACCGCATTTTAAGGAAATCCATGATTCCAGGTGCAATATCTGAATATGACTCCATCCAACAAAAGTTAAGCAGTATTGAATCACGACGATTAGTATGTCCTTCATTGACATAAAACCTTTCGTGGTTACAAATACTACATACTCCGTCAACTAGTCATCAGTGTGGAGTGTGGCAAGAAAATAACATGCTAATGTGATCCAACAACCATTTGCTATTTTCTTCGTCAGTTCTTAACAATTTCTCTCAAATGCATTAAACACAAAGAAATTGTATGGTTTTACAAACCATAATGCCTCAGCTCCAATATGGCGTCGACCACCGGCACAGTGGTCCTGACAACGCCGAGCTTAAAATCATACTTTAGCTCCAATATGGCATCAACCACCGGTATAGTGGTCCCGAAGACACCGAGCTCAAAATAATAACCATGCCTTGAACTCCAAACTAGTGTCGACCATAGGCACAATGGTTTCGATGACACTGAGTCCCAAATTTAGCAATTTAAATGTAAATAAACAATGACAAATGATAATAATAATAATAATCATTGTAATATCAATTGATTAAAATAGAAAATACTCGACAATCCAACATTTAAAGTGTCTAAAATAAAATATAACATGATAAAAGAAAATGACATAAAGAACAAACTCCCACTAACCAAGTACATCAAAAGAACTCACAATGCCCATGTTCTCTTCATAGCACACAAGCTAAGTCGATCACTCCTCTCCCACTTAGCTAATTTTTCTTTCTCTTCGAGTGTACTCTGATCATTGATCACAGGTTTGGTTTCACACAATGTCATGTCAAGGTCAGCAATCCCTAACGAAAACTCTAAGTCTTTCTTCCATTTTTTAAAATAGACCCATTCAGGATCTCAATAGAAGCAGAACAATTGTTCATAGAGAAGGTAATTGTTTAGACAAAATAAGAATGCATTAGAACAAATAATAAATGCAAGATATAGCTTTAATGAACATAAGCTATCACCAAGAGGCCAACATTATCACACAATCCCCTTTGGGTGGAATGTAAAACCCAGTTTAGAACCAAGGTCAGAACCTCAGATGAGTCGCTCAATGAGCATAAATTGGGTTCGAAAATTTATCTCCTTTGGGTAGATAAATTCTCTAAACCAAAACACCTCCAACAACTTCATCTACAAATTTCAAGAATAAGCTACTCAATGAGCATACATTGAGTTTAGAAATTTATTTCCTTTGGGTAAATAAATCCCTTAGACCAAAGCATCTCCAATAGTTATATCCTTAATCAGCCACAATCTTTACGTACAATTGTCCACCTTTGGGAAGACAATCACAGTAATGACTTAAAACCATTCCTCAAACTACAAAGAGACTTTTACAAATTAAAACGAGCGATCTCACTTTGATGGTAATCACACACAATAATTTATAGAATTTCTTGCATAGGAATTAAAAAAAAATTCTTGCCAAAATAAATCATGAACCAATCATGAATTTAAACCATATAACATTCCTAATAAATTTTGTCATCAACAATATCAATCTCAATATTATAGAGATATTATATAATATTTCAAAATACTTGACAAAACAAATATATTACAAATTTATATAAACTAACATTTATTTAATAAAATGTCCAAGACAATACAATAAAAATTTAGAAATATATAGTGCATATTGTCTTGAAAATAATTAATCTAGTTAATTATATATAATTCAATTAGTAATATATAATTTTATATGATACTGTATTAGCGTGAAAAAATTGAACAAAAGAATTTAGAAGTGGCTATTAACTTGGAAAGGGAAAACAAATTAAGCACAAATACCGAAATTGTTCTATTAATTTGCAAGAGAAACACCAGATAAACAAAGTTACCGGCACTATTGACGGCATTCACGTATTTTGCATTTCAGTAACCAAAGAATCATATATATTGTTTTAATTGATCCAAAATAAAGGGCAATTAAAAAATAACGTACTATCAGAACACTATTACTTTCACCATATGAATTTTGAAGAAGTATGCAACAATTCCAATTAAAATAAATACATAAAAGATTTTCGATTCCATATATACTTCATAGATTTAGTAATCACAAAATATCAATTCCAATTTTCATATTATTTATGGAGCAGTTCCGTAATGGTAAAATTTATTACGACAATAAAAAAAAATAATACCATCAATTCGTATTCACAAAAATAATAATAAATAATTGAGTCCTAACCCATATAACCAGACTCTGATACCAAATGTAAGCGGAAATATTCATGGATATTATATTAGATTAAAACATCAATACTTACTTGTTGAAGTCATGATTCAGAATTCCGAATGGATGAATGACCAGATCTTCCTCTGTATCTCACACTCCCGTTCACAACTTTCAATGGGGTAAGTTGTGGAGCCGTCAGTTATGTTTCTGATGCTTTTTGTGATTACAGAGGGGACCTAGCCATATAATATATATAACCCTAGTCCCTACCCATTATGGGCTCAAGGTTAAAGCCCACACTTTTATCCACACCAATCAGGTTTCAGATACTCGGCCATTAGTTAAAAAATGATCACTTAATTAATTAAAAGGCTTATATATGCACCCCCATCAGAATCACGATTAACCCGTTTTTTACAAATTAAACCACAATTGATTGTAGCCCATAAAATATTAGATATATCTAACAGTATATATTTTAAGTTTTGATATATATATATATATATATATATATATATATATATATATATATATATATATATATATATATATATATATATATATATATATATATATATATATATATATATATATATATATATATATATATATATATATATATATATATATATATATATATATATATATATATATATATATATATATATATATATAACATTTTAAACTCAAACAATAAAATAATAATAAAAATTCAATTGAATTATACATCACATTAGAAAAAATCAACAAAATAGTGTCACATAAAATGAATCTTTAAATAACAAGGATACAATCTGTATTTTTATTTTTTAGAAAATTCTTTTTTAAAATCTTACCAATGGCAAAGAATAATATAATTTAAAAATTTATTATCGAATTAATTAATATCAAATTTCATTGGTTTAGTTCGATTTTTATTCGAACTAAAAAAATGTCTGAATCAAATAACATGATTTGATTTGGATTTCGTTTTATATGAATGTTCTACTTTTGAATGAGTAATTTAGATTGATTTTTAATATTTAAATTCAAATTATAATTATTTTAATATCTATATTATAAAAATATTATAAAAGTAATAAATTATAAGTATTAAAATCTATAATATGATAAAATTTCAACTTATAAAATAACAATTATGTTTTACACAAATGAATTATTATAAAAAATTATGTAAAATAATACTAAAATTAATTAAATATAATAAATAATAAACTAATGTAATATATCATATTAATAAAAAATAAATATTAAAATACATATAC